GACAATGCAAAAATGATTCAGTTTGTCCGCAAGAACGATCGAAAGGGACTGGGCCATGACGGAGAAACCAAGTTGTCGAGTTTAAATCCTATCACGTCCGCAGCAGATGAGGATGAGGATGAAGATTATTCTCACGATAATGGTCTCCGGGATTCCTCTTTGCTCTCGCAGAAATCCAAGACTAAGCCTGGCCGAGGCGGTATAGGAGTGGGCATCTTGAATGATAATGGCTCCGATGAGGAAGATCCTTACGAAATGGGACCGAAGATCAGATACAATCGTATCATGGGCGGTGATAAAAAGAAAAAGAAGGCGAAGAAAACAACGGCAGCAATTAACCCTGCTCTTAAAAATGCGCCTGTTTTTGTGTCTCGAACTGCTCGAGCTGGTAATGGTCTTGGACGGTGTCATGATGGGCGATTACCACTCGATGGGTTTGTACTCGCCAAAATTACAGAAGACTTGTCCGATCTCTTTTTGGAATACGCACCGCCTCCGGTTCCAGAAGGATGGGCGTCCTCAAAATCTCCTATAGACCAAGCCAATCCTTCAGATTACAAGTCAACAGCAGATGCTGCAAAGGCATCGACTCATGATGCAAAGTCTAGAGCAGCCCTTCTTGGAGAGAAGAGTCTGCCAGGAAAATCAGTCTTCGATTATATCACGAGCTCAGCACGCGACCGACTTGCTGCAGCTTCCGGGAACAAAAATCTACCCCAGGGTTTGGGAGAGGTTCCAGAAGGATTCTCCATGACAGAAGAGGAAAGACAACAGCAGGTATGGGATGAAGCACCCCAGCTGGATCGTGAGACAGCCATTGCAGCTATTTCTCGAGGCTCCTCTGGACCTTATGCAGACAATGAGGAGAAAAAGGCGCGGTATAGAACTTATCTGGAGCATTTTGCAACAGGCAGCCAACCGCTCCCCTACAAACCCAAGGGCATGGCGTTTGACGACTTTGCCAGAGAATTGTCGGAATTCCACAATTGCGCGAGGATTTTCAAACCGATGACAGGGTTTATGGCGTCTCGATTCACCACGGCGAAGAAACCAGCAATCGTTTCAGCAAACGGATCTGAGACAGATCTGGTGTCGAAACCCGAACCGAAGATCGCAGATCCAGCAGAAGAGGCAGCCAAAATCGGCATGTATGGGCAAATGACTCGAACAGTCGAAGACTTTTATCCAACAAGACTATTGTGCAAGCGGTTCAATGTCAGGCCGCCCGCGCATTCTCAAGCAGAGGCTGAAGCAGAACCTGGCTCCGGGACGACAAGTCGTGATGGAGGTTCAGGACCCAGGGAAGATGTCAAGATGAACTCAACATTCCCGGCTGGCGGCATCAAGTCAATCGAAGGAGCCCCTACAAACACAACGGCGCCAGCTCCTGAGCCCGAGGCCGTCATTGATCCGCATAAGAATGAAGCAGTTGAGGGTAAAACGGCACACGATGAAGTTCTTCGGGCAATATTTGGAGATAGTGATAGCGAATAAATAATCCCATCCATAACTAATCGCATGTCATTGGTCACAAGACGGTTGATGAATTGTTTCAGCCACTACATATCCTTTCAACGACCCCGTTGAACCCAAAACACAGCACTCGGAGTTGAGAAACTTGACATTAGGCTAATGTTTTGCAAAAATCTTTAATAGCCCAAAATTTCAGAACTATTACCCTCGTTCATGGATGATTATCACCACTCATCTCAAAGATGAATGCCAAGATTAGGCTTACAACTCCAGCGCCTCTAGCGCCGCCGCTCCACTTAGGTGAGCGGCTAGGACCCTGTTAGTACCACGGACAGAGCTCTGGTTGGCTACTTTAACTATATCGCGGGGCTCCAATTTAGTGTCACTCAAGCTTGGGGGGCTCACCTCAGGGGAGTAGCAGCCGCCATCGAATGAGGAATCGCGCTGCCCGTTGTTCTTCCAATGTGAACCTCGCTCACGCATCACATCGCATCTATCACATCACATCGCCAGATATCCAATACCTTAGACAGAGCCTCGAAACACGACGAGGCAGCGACTTTCGATACGAGAAAGAACGAGAGCCATCCTGATTCGGCTGTTTTGCTTAATTTCCGCCAACCTTTAATGTTTCGACTCCATCACTAGACTGTTTACCTTGCCAACCACCTTTGGAATCAACCACACCCATCCATCCTAAATCGACTGCTCTTTTCCCGCTGCTCCTTTTGCCGACTTGGGGCAGTCTCGTCTTTGAACGACTTTGTTTTCTCCTAGAAGAAAGCCGCCATCCTGTCTGAATTTCAGGAAGCTGGAATTGGACCATCAGTGTCCTTGGAGAAGAAGACGCCGTCACCAGACTCATCAAGACCGCCAAGCACGCGAACAACATCAAGCCATCATCGCGAACCAACCCCCGACGACCTCAAATCCGCCAAAGAACCGGAATCACACATTCTTTTGAGTCGCGATCAATCACCTCCGCCGCAGTATCCCGCCTCCGAACCTTCAACCTCTCGTCCTCCCCCCTTCTCGTCGCTCTTTACCTCCCCGCCGCACGACGCCCACGAGCGTCCCGACAAATTCGTCGCTTTTACCGCTCATTCTCCTTGCGAAGCAGAAGCATCAGGCTCAGCTGCACCAGCATACGAATCTTCGTCGCCTAGAGAAGCTCTCCCCTTTGATCCAGATCAAAGCACTACTGCATTTCGCGATCCAGTCGCAGAGACCAAGCGCGCGCTTCCTCGGGATACCAAGGGAGACTCCAGTCGCAAAGACGACGACGCAGAACCGCCTCCGGCTTATTCAGAAGAGGGCGATAGTCCCCTTTCCACATTCTCTTTCCTAATGGCTGCCGCAGGAGGAGCTGCGAGTATCATTACTCAAGTGCAACAGGGTGGACCGCCTGTTAGCACTCTTGGAGATGTTGGTGCTGATGAGACGATTGCTATGGACCTAAGGTGAGCGTTACAAGCGGGTGGTTATCTGCCAGTATACTAATTCTCAGATAGGGGCACAAGGTTTTATCTCTCTAGGGACGAGCTGCTTACTTTGCCCGAGTTTGTGCTGCTGTCTTTGTTCCCCAATGGATTATTCCCTGAGGGCCAAATGGGCGGCTTTGCAGACGGCGATGCAGTGCAAGTCGACGTAAGCTAATGTCTCCCTACTATTGCAAACAGTGGCTTACGAAACTAGTACGACCCAGCTTCACTTCAGTATATGCTTGACTTCTTTAGGGACGTTGCACAATCTATCCCCACAGATGGATCACCAAATGCGTCTCAGGATGAGGATACACCTTCTCTCGGCACTTCGCGTGACGACTCTAAGCGAGCCGGTATCATTGTGTTACGTGAGGACCTCGACTTTTATGCTATCCCTCCACGAGCGGATATTGGCCCGCTTGACATGATTGCCGTGAAACGGGCAGCTGCAGAGGCTTTGCAGCGGCAGAACGGCATCTTTTCGGGTCTCAAGCGAAGCGACGAGCCGGGTACTACTGAGGCCCACTTGATCGAGATGCTGACGGCAGGGTAAGTTCACTATCTGTGTTGTTGATAGCTGGTAATACATGCTTACTTGTACTAGTGGCTTCAATCATGATGATCGATGGGGTCATCGAGCTGGTGAGCCTAACAAGGCCGTCATCTGCAGTCTGGCTCTTGCCCGTCTACGCAGCGACATCCGGGGTAACGAGATGGGCACTAACGCTGTCGGTATGGCCCAGAAGCTTCTGCTCTTCTGGCGTAAACCTGCTCGGCGATGCTGGTGGGAGGGTGTCGAGCTCGAGAATGTTGCAGGTGTAGAGGGCAAGCTTAAGGTCTGGATCCGAAGAGTATGGACCCTCGAGATGAGTGTTATTGGCCTGCGCTAGACCACGATCTACTTCTCCTCTCTACCTAGAGATCAAAGACCGTATAACCGTCACCTATTTCTTTTGTCTATCACACTTTGTGTAACTTTGTTTCCTCCCGCATTCCCCCATGTTTTCTCTATTCCCCCTCCTATTAGGTCATCTTATTCCCCTTTTCCATTTTTTCTTTACTATTTCGTCTTCGAGATGAGTGTTGGTGGAGGTTGGTCCCATACAACTGGGCAGAGCAAAAGCACATACGCGGAAGGAAGAGAAGGTTTTTGGTCCATTGAGATTCGCAAAGGGCGGGCGTCAAGGTGCATGGAATCTGGGGGTTCTTTGTAGACCTCCTATATTTTTTCTTCTCATGTTTGATATACAGCACAGGATTAATCCAACTACACTAAGACCATGCGTTTCCCTGTGTGTCACGCTTCAGTGCATGCGTGAGTAGCGTTTGCCACCACATAGACTTTCTGATCCTCATGTTCACGGCAGCTCTTAGACCAAATAGGGCTATGCTTAAGGCCGAGTTGTTCTGGTTTGTTTACCGCGGGTTTTCAAGTTTTCCGTCCTGGGAAACCCAAACTTCACTTGGTTGCTCAAGGCATAACGCTTCAGAGAAAGAGACGTTTAAGCCGCGTGAAACTTCAGCAACGACTCGATAATGTAGAGTGTGGTGAAACAGACTTGGGAAGAAAATGCATGCGTATTATTACCTTGCATAGACTCTGAGGGTTTTAAGCTTGGTGATGTGTTCTCATTTCACGTCGAAATGGTGTCTTTAAAACGACAAGACCCTAGATGTTTTCATCAACCTCTCGAAGAAGGGAATTGAAAGACTCAGGACGAAGGTAATGACCACGAGGGAGCATACTCTTCGCTAAAACGGCGCTTTCCTCATGGAAACTGCAAATTAAAAAGTTACACTGGTCATCTCTGTTTCGTTGTGGTAGGATTAAACCCAATGCCAATGTACAGTTCAGATAATTACATGCCTTCGTAGCGTTGACGCTACACCTATTAAGTCTAAAATCTCTATGGTTTTCCAAATTGTTCCCATAGTAGTACATGAAGCGCAAGATACATCTAGTATCAAGTGTCGAAACATAAAGAAGCAGGGAGGCTACAGTGGTCAAGTGGATTCTCGACCAGTCAAGAGTAATCAATCTGTCTATGAACGCTTGGAAAGCTGTACCATAGGTCCATCTCTGATAGCAACAAAGATATCTCGCAATTGGTACTGATCAACAGTACGGCGTCCTTCGATGGCGTCGGGACTACCACCTCCAAGATTGCTGCTGAAGTCACGTCGGATCTCAAAGTGGTAAACAATCTTGGCCAGAGCCAGACTCATCTCGAGATAAGCTAGGTTCTTCCCGACGCATCCTCGAGGACCTGCAGAAAAAGGCATAAAGGCGCTCTCAGCGAGAGAGACACTCTCGGGGGAAACACCAAACTCATTCTTATCGTCAACGATCCAACGCTCGGGACGAAACTTGAATGGTTCGGGATAGATATCGGGGTTGTGGTGCATGCAGTAGGACGCGGTGCTGACTTTGATGCCCTCAGGGATATACTCCCCATCGACGAGAATGCCACCTTCTTGGACTTCTCGTGAAAGATCGGCTGGAACAGGAGGGCTCATGCGCAGCGTCTCGTCGATGACAGCTCGGAGATATTGGCAGGAGTAAAGAGCTGGGCCACCCTTGATGTCATCCACGGTAGAGAAGGCAGACCTGACCTCCTCCGCAAGCTTTTGTTGAACGTGAGTGTATCGAGAAAGGTAAAAGAAACAAGCGGCAAGACTTATAGCAGAGGTATCAGAGCCAGCTATGATAAGAGACTCGCTCTCACCAAAAAGCTCATCTTTGCTATATCCCTTTCCAGTGTCAGGATCCACGGCCTGGAAGAGATAGTGGAAGAAGTCTTTTCGACTATCGCCTTTCTCCCACAAGCCCCGCATGTTGTTTTCGACTTGGACTCTCTCGGTGAAGCACTGCTCAACAAAGGCCTGCCACTTGCTGAATGCTGGAGGAGCTGCTGCTGCAAGAAGGAAATCCAAACCTCGGGGCTTGAGCCATGCCCAGAGAGGAGCGAAGGGGGAGTAGGCAATCTAACGTACAGCATTAATAAGAGATTCGCCTTGGGTGTGTTGGATCTTACCGGGTGGATTGTCGACATAAAGTCAGTCATGAGTGTTGGGATATGTCGTAACTCGCTATCGTGCTCCTTCATGCCAAACGATTTACCGAAACACAACTCTCCAAGGGTATCGAAGATGAGATGATCCGCCCAACGAGCCATGTTCAAAGAAGGCGACCATTTCTTCTCTCCAATCTCTTGGTCGAGTAGCTCAATCCATCGGTCAATGTTGGAATGGATGAAAGGTTCGCAGGAGCGCAGTGCTTTGTCAGAAAAGGCGTGGTTCATGACCCGCCTCTTTCGAGCATGCATGGTCTTGTCAATAGTGTTCCATGTTGTCATGACATGGACATTGCGTGGGTATGTCTTATAGTACTCGGCCTTTTTGACATTTGCCTTGTTGTTGAAAATGGTCCTGAGGCCTGTGGGAGTGTTGATCAAGACACTATTGGGAGTGATACGAAAGGTTGGACCTACAGGCGTATTTGTTAAAATGGGATGTTCTGATAACTTGAGGTATTCATCTAATGCTCACCGTATTTCTCTTGCAGCTGCCAGAACCATACATGTCGATCCTGTCTGAGAGTGTAGTAGTATGCAGGGACTGCTGAGATACGTGCCCAAAAGGGGCCAGGATATTTGGCGAGGGGATCAAAGTATAATCTGTAAACCACGACAGCGGCTACATAGCAAAAGGATAGAAAGATAATCCCCCAGACAATCTGTGAAGAGGATAAAACGGTCACCGTGTTTATGATAGCCATGACTTGTGCTTGTCTGTTGTAACAACAAGACTGAAGGGAGAGCACTTGCTACGAAAGAGGTGGTCAGGCTATTAAAGAGATCGGTAGGTCCCAAGATGTGACGACAACATGGATTGAATTCTATCGTAAAATGACCTGTAGCATTGCGGCCTGTAAGTAAGTACATAGTATGGGTGCATATGATCGATATTGTGCGTGGCCTGGTCTGGCCTGTGGAGTGTAGTGTGACGATAGGAACGTTTGGACTATGTGGCTGGCTGCACATACACCCCTTGTCAATCAGGAATAACCCCTTTCAGCCATTGCGACTATCGTGTCGTTCTGGCTGACTTGAGAGAGTGATGGAGGGTGAGATTGAGACTGAGAATGGAGGTGCGCTCTGGTCATGGTTGGACTGATCAAGTTGGAACAGACGTTGTACTATGTATGGATGTTTGACGTTGGAAATATTTGACATGTTATTAACCCTCTTCCTTTGCAACTCTGTTGGTTCATGACTCAACCCTGACTAGGTCAAGCCACCGACCGTGAACTTGGGCATATATGCCGGCCTCTTAATTGCTTTTTTTTTTCTTTCTTTCTTTCCTTTTTTTCACGTTGCACATCTTGCTTATAAGTGAGGCGGACCACAAGCGACGTGGTTGTTGGTTGTTGCAGCCACCAAGCGAGTATGTACACTTTTAAGCGCCTCGAAACGGCAGTATGCATGTATATCTTGGCACTCGATGTCATTATGCAGAGTCCTTTTTTGTAAGACCTGTTTTCGTTCTTTATTCTTACTCAATTGTTCGCTTTTCTGGCTTACAAGTCAGTCTCATATGAGTTAAGCATTCATTGCCTCTACGGCAGGCAAGCAAGTCAAGAATATTGCAATTAGCTAGGTACCCAATGCCTTTTAACTACACATGCATGTATAGAACTCCAAAAGCCTTACTCGCTCTTCAGCTGGCCCCGTCAAAAACTAACAAGACATCTTTCGCCGCCGCCGCCGCCGCCGCCGCCGCCGTAGCCTGCAGGGCCTCAATCAGCCATCACTCTTCTGATGACGACTGAGAAAAGACCACGCGCCTGTGACGCGGTGGAAGCGGGGCAACCGTGAAGTTCTGTGGGAGGAAAGTGTTAGTTTTATGTGACTTTGGGTTGCTTATTAAAGTCAAAGACGTGAATTCGTGATTGCATTGGCCTCGGCAAATGCGTTGTCTATGAGATAGGCCACATGATCAAGTGAGCAAATCAGCTGTAACATCGGTGAACTAGCAATATAACTTAAACAAGGGGTCTGATCACTCATGTTGTCAAGCTCGATACGAGATAGTTGTGCTGTTTTATGTGGATTTTGTCTTATTGGTTTCCGTCAATATGAAATCAAGTCAGGCTGTAAAGTTTTATCCAAATTGCGGCCTGAACACTTCTTGTTTATGTACAGCAAGTTTCCCCGGTCAATAGTCTGATGTTTATAGAGTAGCAACTGAAACCTCGTCGAATTCTGTGGGATCTGATACGAAGGTCTAATCCAAAAATTGGGAAAATGACCTGTCTCCCAGCTTAGTGTCATAGCACAGAGCTAAGGCAACCTTTGAATAGGGGCTTTTTTTTTTGTTTTTGAGGCTTTCCGGTTTGGCCAAGCCATAAAAAGGAACTTCTGGTTCTAGTGAAGTGGCGAATCGGTGAAGCAAAGCGTCTCCGCAGGACAGGATAACATATCAGGCATCAATACACATTCGTAAAGCAGTTATTGAGTACCTTGTGCTGCGAGTTTAGGCGATGAAGAGGACATGGCGTTGTGACTGCGGTAGTAGGAGTGAGATAGACTTTGTTCCTGCATATTATAGACTGGGGCGTAACACTCAGACCTCACGCAGCGTGACAATGATGATCGAAACAAGAATGGTTTTGTGATGACATATCCAGTCGTGTTTCAGTCTAAAGGTCTGTGCCCATCTCGGTTGAGATCAAGTGACCCAACTTGGCTGTACCTATTCCGATAGGTTAATTGTACGCATTGATATCAGACGTGAAATCATTGTTCCAATCTTGAGGTTTATCATCCACTCGAGGTCGAGCGAGCCATTGCAACAGCAGTAGGTTAGTTAGTAGTTATCTTGCTAATGGCTAATTGTTGTGTGGCTTATTACTTTGATAGTGAGTGGCTCTTGGTTGGCTTAACTAGACTCGGTCTGCTTCGGTCGAATCAACCATAGCGTTGTGTGGCTCTCTTATAAGAAACCAACACGAGAAAGGCATCATGTAATACGTCAAACTACAGAACACGGATACCTTCAACATCAACTCTCAGCAGAGCAGATCACGCTTCATGTGCATTGAACTCTAGGATCCAATTGAAACAAAATGTGGTCTCAATCCACGACCGTTAAAACGATGTTTCCCTTCTCGTCCTGGGCAGGCCGAATACCCTCTCCATCGTCATCCTCCCACGGTTCAAGATGACCTCCCTCCGCATCGTGGCTGCAATTGCGCTGATCTTAGCCTTCATCACTTCTTTCGCTTCAGCCCAGCAATGCAGCTACAAAGAAATGAAGCCCAAGTCCTCTAGCCCTCGGACCGCTCCCGGCTGGGAATATACCGTCCTTCGCGACAATTTCAGACAACCTCGGACCATCTTGTTTGATAGTGAGGGTGCTCTCCTTATTCTAGATGCCTTTCGCGGTATAATGCACATCCAGCTCGATGACAGTGACGTAGGAGGAAAATGTGTCCGAATAGCAAAGAAGACGACTTTGCTCAGAAAGGGCAGTGTACGCTTTCATCCACGGTCTCTTACACTGTCGGTCACCAACTAATTAATTCACAGCTAAGACACGGGCTCGCGCTTTCAAAGGATGGCCGCACCATATATGCCTCCTCATCGTCGAGCGTCTGGTCATACTCTTACGATGCCAAGAATGTCAAGCTGGACGAAGGGTCGGAGAAGATGGTGGTCGACAACTTGGCTACCGAAGGCTCTTCATGGCGATCCCTTCTCATATCACAGAAAAACCCTGATATGCTTGTCGTTTCCCGAGGGAGCGGCATAGGTAACGACCCGCAAGCCGAGGTGCGTTCCTCTGGCCACGCTCAGATCCGTGCCTTCAACATATCAACTTTCGATCCCAAGTTCCCCGATATGAAGCCCTATGACTTCGCTAAGGATGGCGTCCTCCTCGGTTGGGGTCTGCGCAACGCTCAGGGCCTAGCAGAACACCCCGTTACTGGTGGAATGTTCAGCACTGAGAACTCCTATGTGGCCCTCGATCGGAATGGCAAAGATATCAGCGTCGATAACCCGGGCGAAGAGATGAATTTCCACGGATATCTCAATGGTTCTACGGAGAGCAGCGGCGGTAACTATGGCTACCCTTTTTGCTACAGCTTGTGGTCCACGAGCAAGTTTCCTGAAATCGGTGACATCAAAGTTGGTGAACAGTTTGGTGTTGATCAGAGTTCTGATCAATCTCGTCGAACCGATGCGGAATGCAGAAGGGATTACGTTGCTCCCGTCCAAGTATTCCAAGCCCAGTCTGCGCCTATAGCCCTTAAATTCAACCCGGACGGCACACGAGCATATATGGCTTTCCATGGAAGCTGTAAGTTATCATCCTACTTTGCCTGAACCCCTGAGCCAGTTGACTGACGTATCTTGCTCAGGGAACCGTATGAAGCCGGTGGGATATCAAGTCGCATATATCGACTTCAAGAATGGACAGCCTGCGATGGACGCTATAAAAAGCGGAAATGCCACCACACCCATAATGTTCAACAAAGACAACAACGTGCATTGCCCGGAGGACTGTTTCCGCCCTGCCGGCTTGGCCTGGGACAAGAAGAATCGGTTGTTCTTCACCTCTGATACAACTAAGGAGCTTTTCGTGCTATATAACACATGGGATGCTTACCTCAAGAAGAATGACACTAAAGAGGCCTACGTTTGGAGAGGTAATAAAGGCTCTTGGCGATAGAAACATCTATCTGGGTAATTTAGCGCAAGCTTAGGGCACTCTTACTGGGTTTATTTTGGCACCAGTATCTAAAAGTTAAAGTTTTCTTGCTCCTGATGATAATTCAGCCTTTTAGCCTTTACATTCACGTCCCAAGTTGGAACAGCGGCTGACCTATGAGCCGTGGGCACAATTGTTCGTGTTTCCATAGCAATTAAATACTCAAGGATCGATATCATAACATTTCTAAAGGTTCTCGGTTCTATTACTGAGCCAGAGTGGCTCTCTTCATCTTCACAATATCCTGCCAGAAAAGTAACCTGGTCCAAGTCTCGTGATATACGCAAGCCCATCATAGCATTCGTTATTCGGCTACATTTCGCGCTCATCACATTGCATCCCACATCAGGATCAAGAGATCATAGCAAGATAATCATCCTTTTGTTTGCCTTGAACGCCTGGCTCTCCTATTTGTACTCATAGTTGCGTCGCGCTTTACTCTGCCTCCATCTATTCCTCAATTGTCTTGACGCACTCCCACTCGCCTCGGAGGTTCTCCTTCCACAACGACACCTTGTTGTCCTGTCCGCTTACCGCCAGCACGTTGCCGCTGAGCGACCAGCTAACTCGCCACACAGCCGCCTCAAAGTTGAGAATCTTGGACTCCCACTGGGTGGGGTTTGAGGGGTCGGATGTCCAGATACGGACCGTCTTGTCCTGCGAAGCAGAAGCGATGTAGGACTTTTGGAGGACAGTAGGCGACCAGGCAACGTCACGAACCCAATCGGTATGTCCAGTCAGGGGCTCACGCTCTTGCTTGTAGGTCTGAGAAGCAGCATCAAAAGCCCAGATCTTCAGGACATTATCGCTGCCGCCAGAAACGAACCGTCGGTTGCCGGTAGCACCAGGACCAGGCGCGCTGCTGACGATGCTTCCAGGGGTAGTAGCAGGAGCCCAGGAGACAGAGTTGACGCCGAGACCGTGGGCGGGGAAGATGGTGTGGTCGATGCTGTTATCCTTGAACTCGAGAACGCTCACGTTGCCGTCGGAGGAGGCGCATGCTAGCAGACAGCCAGCCTCATGGGGAGACCACGAAACGACGTTGACCGAGGCCTTGTGTAGATTGAAATCGTAAATTCGCTGCCATGCGTTGTTCTGTCCGCCCTGCTCTTTCCAAATGAATACCTTACCATCGTAGCCAGCCGATGCGAGGATGTTACCGTACTTGGGATGCGCCCAAGCGACACACCAGACGGCACCCTCATGTCTGTAAGTCGGCCCTGTCAGCTTCCCCTACTTAGGTATGGGGATATTTCAAGCCTACCCCTTGAGAGTCTCGATCAATCGCTGGGTTTCGCCCTCAATCTCAAAGATCTTGATCGTCTTGTCGCCAGAGCAGGTAGCTAGCTTGCGCCCGTAGTAATCGAGGACAGCATCATGCTGGGAGTGAGTAGCTGTCAGTATGGTTCGAGGTCGTAGGGAGATATCGTGTCGAGCTTGGTTATGCATTGCATAGCTTCGAGTTGCATCGATCGGGAGCAGGAACGTACAATCATGTCCTCATGACCAGAGTTGGTGATAACTTGCGCCGACTTAAGGGGTGGGTTAGCTATAATAGAACAAGTTTGGTTTGGGTGTTGCCCGCTAAAGTTGGGACAAGATGGGGATCTCATGATTCTTGCATCACTTACCATCTTGCTAGATTTCACACCAAAGTTACAGCGCAAAAGGAAACAAGAAAATAGGATGAAATATAGAAAAGGTGGCTATCAGAGGACACGATACCGCCCATGGCCTGGAGCTATCTGAGGTGGCCCGCGCCAGACCGTGGCGGTGGTGACAGTTGGCCAAGCTAGAGATCACGTGAATATAAGCGTGATCTCGACTTGGGTGGATTGAACCTTAACTCCCCCACTTGCCGCATTGGTATCCGAACGGCGCAGTACGTACCGAGTTCAATGTTGCCTCGGCGCAGCTGAGGCTTCCCCGGACGGGGCGGGAGAGCGGGCAATCACGAGCCATCGGGACTCGGTCTTGAATTGGAAACTTGGACTTGATTTCTGGGGAAAGCGGCTCTTGGATTATTCATCTTCAACCTCGCATCTTCATCTTCATTTTGATCTTCAGCCTCCTATAATCAGTGTTCAACAGCTTCAACGTCAGACAGTCCTACTATATACCACTATATACGCGCCACTAGATCCATCACACAGGCCGAGGTATACTGCCCACCTACTCAATACTCTCTCAGCATCTTCATCAACTCATATACATATCCAACGTCTCACTCGATCATGGCGGACGCTTCGTGTAGCGGAGGAACACCCTTCAAGCGTCTTATCGACCACCAGGCCCG